AAAAAATGTTTGAGATCTTAAAATGAAATTTTCCATCTTTTGTTTGCTATACAATATTACAATATTACAGGTACTGTGCTTAAGGTTAGGTAAGCATTAGTGGGATAGGTGAAGGTCATGGCAGTTCCAATATGTTTGCATAAATAAACAGATTCTGGATACTGATTAAATGTTTTTTGACATTATTTTGTATTAGTTGAGCATTCACGACAAGTGACTTGGTTACATGAGTACTTAATCACTTCTTTAGTAATACAGTTGATTGGGACATGGGAATGAGAAGGTTTAACTTGTCGAATGCTGGGCTTGAAGGAAACTGCGAAAGAACACAGAAAGGACCCTTCTTTAACGAGATCGATGACTTCATGGCATTGCTCTTGTTTTGGAAGCTGCACTAAGTCAGCGCACTGTCACTCGACGTCCTCCTTAGAGATGAATCAAGGTTTTGTGTAAACGTCCTCGTCGGGCGCCATGAGCGTGTTACGCTCGATCGCTGGGGGAGGTCCGAGAGCGCCGGGCTGGGGAGGAGTACAGCTGCTCCAGAATTCCACTGGCAGTCATTGACGGCAACCTGACTGCACAGCACTACCTCAGTCTAGTCCTGGGAGCCCAACTACTGTCTTTCCTGTGGCTCATCCTGATATGGCAACATTCCAGCAGGATAACCCATGTTTTCATGCTGCTCATGCGGCAGGGCTCAGAGCCCTGTGAACGGTTACTGTACATGCTTACTCAGGCTCTCAAAGAGGAATGGGACAAACCCATAAGACATAACTGCACCCTAATGCAAAGCTTGTCACAGATTCTGTATGTAGCTTCTATGGCTTCCATTTGCAGCCTCACATACAGCTATCCTGTGACATATATTGCAGACTTAGAATACCACATTCTGATGATGTCATATCTACTCAATAAAATATGAGACCACAACTTTTTACATAATTACGAAAATATTACTTTTCCTCAATAATTAGTTGCAGGTAAAAGTGATATTGTTCTTTTCTTTTGATGCTGAGTATACATATTTCACGATAAAAGCTTGAATTACTTCGAACCTATCTCTGGAAATACCATGCAGAGAATACAGTATCTTTGAGAATACATCTGTACACAAGATCCTACAGTGTTCCAACATTAACAGCTCCAGAGACATTTATTTCACACAATTCCATTTCAAGTCTATCTCGCACTATCATTAAAAGGGTAAAAAATGTTTAGGTTCCTACTGCAAACAATACTTTCCATTGTTTCCAACAACGTAACAGACAAGATTGTAAATGTTTTATTATTAAAAATGCATTGCAGGTGAATCAGTTGTTAGTTGCTCTGCATAAGAAGTATCAACACAGTTGGTATACTGTATGTTAATTAAAATAATTTAATTATTGTGAGCTTTTTATCAAGCTGTGTTACTTAGCAAGCACGTTTTACATTTAATATGATTTATGAATACTTTGCTCCCTATGGGGGATAGAAGAGGAAATTTTATCATAAAATAAAAGGACAAAGGTGATCAATAATTAATGGAGCTGTTTCATGTTTGGAAACAATGCTGCATATGTCTTTACAAGAAGTTACAATATTGGTTATTTTAGGGGGGAAAATAGTTTATTTGAATAATTTTAACTGAAATGGTGACATCAAGCATATGTCCAATTGGTTCCATTGTGTGCCTTCTCTTACTCACATACAACTAAAATATCTCTGAAGGACCTTAAAATTTAAATTTAGTAGCTCTTTAGGAAAACCATCTCACTCTACTGTTAAATGTCGATTCACAGTAAACATGCAACACACTCTGGGAATGTGGTTTAGTGTCATCGAGATAATTTGTAACCGGACATAGTGGAAATGGCTTGGATGACATCAGATAAGAGCACAAGAAAGGATACAAAGAGAAGGCTATTTAGCAAACTGTTTGGGAGCTTCTTATTGATCCAAGGATCTCATCCATCCATTTTTCTGAGGGAAGCCAGATTTCCAGCTTCAATGACAAGGCTGGATAGCTTGTTCAATACTCCCACTACTCTTTGGGTAAAGAAGTATGTCCTGCTCTCAGTTTGAAATACACTTTATGCAGTTTTCACTTGTGTTCTCTGGTTTGTGTTTTGCTATTCATTTTGAATAATTCAAGCACACTGACTTTGTCTATAACTCTGAGGATTTTGAATACTTGTATCAGGTGACTTTTTAGTCTTCTCTGTTCAAAATGTTTAATTCTTTAAATCTGTTAATTAAACAATGTTAACATAACAACCCTTGATTTGCACTCTACATTACACTTATAAGTAGTCTCTTATAGCCCAGTGTTTCTCATTTTGTATTAATAGTTTTTGATTTTACTACACACATGCAAAATCCTGCACTTGTCTACCCTCAATGTCATCTGCCAGGTGTTTGAAACGTCTTAGTATGGTTCAATTGTTGCTTCTACACTGTTCATTAATCCTCCAGATTTAAGAGACGTCCTAGTACAGATTCCTGTGGTACTCCACTAATTACATTACTCTCATCTTACAGTATATGGCATACGCTTTTCAAAGGCCTTTTAAAAATCTATGAATCTCATATGCCCTGTGTGTATCCATTATAGTTGTGAAACATCTGCATACTCCTTTCATCCAATCATTTAAACAGGATGTCAGCAGATTTCAATTTATTCATGTACAAAAGATGCAGTATTTTAATCCACTTACATCATTAACTGATTAACTGTGGCAGTTTTGTAAATTGATATTTACAAATAGTAAATATTTATATATAAATATACATATTATTTATGTAACTGTATAAAGAAACTGTAGCTTGGAGGGGTGGGAGGGGGAAGATTAGGGCATAGAAAGAGGAAGAATTGAAGATAGAGGGTGGAAAGGGAGGTGAATTATTATTATTAATATTATTAGTATACACAAGTTTAAACTACTTTTTCCTCACTCATCACATCAGCATTTTACAGATTCACAAACCAAGAGCTGTGGAGTGTCTTACAAACTTTTGTCTGTGCATCTAAGGGTTTTAGTTTTGTCATACGAAGAAATACTAAGAAAGTTAGAGCACAGCCCTCTAGTGAGGATCAAATTTAGCCTTGCTTGAGTATCATCCCTTTAAAGCCTCTGCATCTGTATGACCACACAGTAAAGCTCTGACAGTTCTTTGCCATTAATAGTTCAGATATTCCTATCACCAACCCATTTTCTACAAGAATCTATCTTAAGTACTGCTGTGCTGTTGAGTCAAAGATCTTATCTTATGTCCTGCTGCCATTATAGGAATAAAAAAAAAAGAATCGTATACAAATCTAAGAAATAACAATTTCTTCCTAAGAAGTAACGCAATTATTGCTTTGTTCCCATGGACAATACATTTTCAGCAAAGGAGGGGACTCAGAAGAAGACGAAAATGTGTTTTGTTGCTTCTTGTTAATGATTATCATGTGATTATCATTATCATGTTTTGCCAAACCGGTTTATACTGTACAATATGGTGTCGCGTGAAGCCGGAGCCTACCCGGCAAGCAACGAGCGCAAGGCAGGGTACACCCTGGACGGGGCACCAGTCCATCACAGGGCAAGTACAAGCCAGTCATACATGGGGACAATTTGGAGGCCACGGTAAAGGCAGAGGGGGGGGGAAACTTGGCCTGCACACTGTGATAACTCCCTACTCTTATCGAGAAATGCCCAGGGATCTTTAATGGCCACTGAGAGTCAGGACCTCGGTTTAACGTCTCATCCGAAGGACGGCGCCTGTTTTACAGTATAGTGTCCCCGTCACTATACTGGGGCATTAGGAACCACACAGACCATGAGGTGGGCGCCCCCTTCTGGTCCCACTAACACCACTCCCAGCAGCAACCATAGATTACCAGGAGTCTCCCATTCAGGTACAGACCAGGCTCACACCTGGTTAGCTTCAGTGGGCTGCTATTTGAGAGCTGCAGGGTGATACAGTTGCTGGACACAATGATCATCATATTAACTATAAATGTACAAAATATTAATCTATTTTCGTTCATGTTATGAAGCATAATGTATTATATTCACAAAACAATTAGAAAATTATTATAAAACATCATAGTATATTATATATAGTATATATATATAAAGTAACTCAACTGCAAAAAATACAATATATGAGAAATAAAAATTCACATAATATGAAAACTGTGCATTTGATGGATCTCAAAATACTGAATGTTACAGTATCATCTTCCCTACTTCACTGTGCACACAGCTGTGCTAGTTCATGCTGAATTTTGAAGATTGTGTTAGTCAAATCTGGGTCTGGCAGATCCTGTGTGGAGCGCCTTTTATCAGACTGCACAAAACAATTGAAAGGAAAACAGATCTGTGAAAAAAGCCTCACAAGTGCTCTGCTGTGGTTTGATCCCTTTAGCTCTCTCTGCATTCTACTCCATAATCACCTTGGCAAAAACCTCCAGCACACAACAAATGCCCAGATATCATGGCTTACTGCTTGTGCTACAGCCACAATATGAAACACAAACTGCGAAAAACCTATCCTGATGGGAGACCTTCTGCCATAGTCTTACTTAACGTGTGGTTGCGACACGGTCTTAAAAAAAATGTAAGAAATGTAATTTATTAAACTTCTGCTGGTAAAAGAGTAACCTGTGCTGGAAAAAAGCAACAAAATCACGACTATTGTTTGATCACGATCCAAAAGATGTCTGCACTGTGAAAAAGAGCAAATGTATTCATGGTACTAACGTGCTTCTATTGCTTCTTTCACCTTGGATTTAAAACACTATTTCAAATGGCCCCTCAAATGTCTGAATTGATAGATAAAAAAGGGAATTACAAGAAGGACAAAACAGAGAGAACTATTCTAGAAACTATCCATTCAAAAAGCTACTGTATATAATTTTCTTTTTGTATTGTTAAATCATGCTGTTGCTCTTTAGTGTAACAGAAAAGCTCTCTCCTCTTTGTGCTCAGCTTGGTCAGAAACTTCGGATGCAGAAACTCATTATCCCTTACTGTATCTCTTTGGTCCATCTTCCAAGCAGAATGAAAGAGTTAATGTGGCATCGTCTTCGAAAAACTCTGTTGCAAAGGCATCCCACCATAAGTTGTCACTTTCCTACAAGGAAAAAACAAAAGTAGAAGGTGACCATTACTTACTAAATAAAAGAATTACGGAATTCCAATTCCTTTTCTTCATCTTTTCTTCATTTTATAACGGTGACAAATGTAATCACATATCTATTGTAAAACATCTTTAATAAAGACAGGACATCATGAAATAAGACCTTTACAATCAAAGTTCCTTACAGATTCACAAACTTAATATCAGTATTTTTCCTAATCTCTGTATTTTCTTGCATTGCACTACTTACTAAAAATATATTACCTACTAGCTGCATTAGGAGCTATGGAAGCAGATGACTCACAGTTTAAGGTCCTATACAGTAGTTACCCTACAGAATAACAGACAATTATATTACACATGAGTCAGACTTCAAGTGTGTTTTCATATCCTGTGCTACTTCACTATCAAATTATGTTCTGGAGCACAATCCTGGATCTGTATGATTCACTGTATAAGCGTGCAAATGTCTCTGCAGTGGACTTAATTGACCGAGTAGTATGGGCATGTGGACCTACTTCAGACAATGCAGGCCATGAAAAAAGGGACATGAATGTTTCTCATTACATGTCCTGTCCCTCTCACTAGGGGATTACTTGGACAAAAGAAAAACTGATGATGATTACTAAACCATTCGAACCCTGTACCCTCAAAAACGTGCTAGCAAAAGGGAACACCAAAGATGAGAATATATGGAAACTGACTCAATTAAAAATATTTAAATTGTTTTAAGGAAATCATGATTTTTATATTCATACAGTATGTCCTGGGTGCCTTTTGCGATAAATTTGTGGTTATTTCGAAGTATAATATATTGCATTCATACAGAGTTTCATATATACATACATCATATATATATGGTATATTGTATATATTCATATATATTTCGCATATCTCTGTGAGAAAGCTTTCTTGGTCCGATGGTCATTGTTATTCCTCCTTCCTTACTAAACAAGGGAAAGATGGCATAGCCACCCTAGGCTTTTCCACAGCACAGCTAAATTCAAAATCACTCAGAAAACTAATTATTATATCAATTATTAAATTACTTTAAATACATTTTACTAAGTGCAAAGGAGAGAACTCTGTCCTATAGAGCCAAAACCCAGCAGATTTTAAGAGCCAGTAACTAAAACTAAGACAGTTTAACAAACTTAGAACAATTTGTTTGTGACCAACTAAATAGGTCATTTGTTGAATTAAGCAATTTAAAGATCTACAGTAAATGTGAACAAAACATGAATATTCTTCACACCACATGGACCAGAGGTCTCTTAATTGGATGCATTACCTGCTGAACTCATCAGTGCTTTACCAGCATTGTCACTTTTTAGAATCAGGTCACTTATAATATACAGTACTTATATCAGGATTATAGAACACTGATTTAAAGACTTCCAGACACTTTCTGTGCACTTATTATTAACAGTAGGAGCTATATTTATAATACTCAGCTCCCCAGTCATCATCAAATGTATCAACAAAATCTAGAACAACATTATCAAAATTAATTCATGGAGTATCAATCTTTTACTTGCTATAGGGCCTTTGCAGCCATTTGCTACACAGTGTTTTACAGAATTATGATATACTGCAGTTAACAATACAGTAACAGAGCCCCTGGTTTCAACCCACCGTGCAATGAGGTTTAGGTACAAAAATAATAATAAATCAAAGCCAAGGGTTGAGATTATGCTGTCATGGGTCTGTTGTGAGCGTTAACAGAAAAAAAACTGCTTTAAGCATCATTTTCCTTCTTGATTTAATACTATTGCACCTCTTGTTGAAGTTTAAGTATCATGAGAACTTTGCCTGCATTTTATGTAGGGACAAATGATTAATGAAAAGTGTTTTGCCTTTAATCTTATATAACATCTGTAATAATCAAATTATCAAGCGCACACTTTCTTATAATTAAATAATATTTAGCTTGATTTGATGTTGGAGCTGTGACTTTATTTAAAACTATTTTAAAGATGACTTAGTTGGAAGCATTCTGTTATAAATTAAAACAATGTTCCACCTGATAAAAAACAAATCAAATTAGTGCTAAACTAAAGTTTGGCAAGACAAGTGACTGTCTAAAACAAAAATATAAGGTCTTATAACCTTCCAGATAATTAATTTTAATTAACTTAAAAATATGAATTCAAAGAAAGAATATCAATGTCATTTTAATACTATTTTTTAACACAGAGGAAATCAACTGTAAAAAGCATTAAAACAATGGAGACAGATTTTCACATTTTAATAAATTCACATTAAAATATATAATAATCACCCCCAATATCCTCCAGGAACCTGAGAAAAATTAGTTGTCAATAGAACACACTTTTCCTGATTTTATGTTACTTAAGATATGATCAGTCAAATAAACCAAAGTTTGTTTCTTTGGCACTGGAGCTCAGGAACCCAGAGGTTAGGTAAATATCAAATATATACAGTATAAAAAACATTTTGGATAAACAATATTACCTCAAGCTTGTTTTTCCACTCTCAGAAGTTCTCCTTTCCTCTGAATATGATATGAATTTTGAGTTTATACATTATTTACTGTGTACATTTTAGATCTGAGATCTGAACCCACAGCTTGCCAATTAAAAATCAAAAGACTAACCCTCCATGCTACGCTGCCCCATGCAAAATAAGAAAGGTGCTAACAAATTTCAGGACACAGCACGAAGAAGTCAAGCAAAGAGGCGCAGTGGTCAGCATTGCTGCCTCACAGCGCTCGGACCCTGGGTTCAATTCCCAATGTGGGTACTATCTGTGTGGAGTTTGTATGTTCTCCTCAGTTTTGCACAAGTTTCCTCTCACAGTCCAAAGACATACTTGTAAGTTAACTGGTGCGTCTCTGTTTCTGTGTCGCCCCTGAAATGGACTAGGATGTTCCTGCCTTGTGCGTGTTACTTGCTGAGACAGGCTCTGTCTCCCCCGCAACCTTGAACTGGATGAAGCAGCTAGAAGAAAGAATGGACAGACATGCAAACCTGGAGCAGCTTAACCCTTTCTTAAGTAATTTAAGGGCAAATTGCTACTTACCCTAAAATAAAAGCAATTCCAGTTATACTACTGTAAATTCCTCTTTGGCTGGTGTTACAGTGTCCTCAAAAGCTATTGGGACAGCAAGGTGAAAAATTATTTTTACTTAGGTTAAGAAATATGTATTTGTGATCATGAAATGAGAATAGCTTACAATTAAGCTAAACTATATGTGTTATTATTTTGAAAGTCCTTACATACACTACTTATCATATTAGAACTCAATTATTCTCTGTGTGCAACACAGTGATTTCTTGGGACAAATGATTTATTGGGCATTATTTTTCTGTTTTGCAATTACCGAGCTTTAAACTTCAAAAGTTTGACTTTTCAACTTCTGTGGTTTTTTTCTTTCAGCAAATCTTCTGCCATTATTGCAGCAGCAGAGTGGTCTGGCTTCACCGTTTTCCATTATTTCAGGGCAATAAAGGAAAGGCTGCTGCTGGATCCTATCAGTCTGTTGCCTGCATGTTGCTACATTGCCAACTGTGATTTTCCTGCTCATGTGACCCCACACTGAGAGACAGACACAGTGGAAACAGCTGTCAGTCATGTGTTCCCATAGACAAAGCTGCCTCTGTGACCAGGCCAAGGTAGAAAATCAACTGCATTTATCAATATTTGTTACATGAGAGAAGTGCAGATCCAAATGCTGCAATAATCTCAGTGACATCCATTTTTTTAATTAAGTGAAATGGATGCAAATTGCAAAAAAGTCTGACAGATTAAGGTGAAATGCACCTTTTATGAGTGCACAATTCAGAAGGAAATGTGATCTACTCTGGATTAAAAGATGTCAGATGATAACAGACATATCAGTTGAAAAATCCGGTCATAAACTTCTTGGAATTAAAACAAACCACTTAGCAAACTCTCGATGAATGTTTTCTCATCCTCGTGGTAACAAAAACACCCTGCATTTTACACTTAAAATATTTAATAAAAAACAGCTTCCTGCAAAGTAATAGCAGTTTAGATTTTACAAAACTCTTGCAACTGTAAAAGAATACTTCTTAGTTTTTATGCATAATGAGTTTCAAGAGTACGCTTTGAATCAGATTTACTTGGACTGCAAGTGGAAAGCGAATGCCTTGTCAAATGATTTTGATTTTCGAAGGCATGTTTTGACAGGCTGAGTTTTTTTCATATTATTTGCTATGAGAGGGCTCACCCTTCCAGCTGTTTACAATTAGCTCTGCAGACAGGCATAATGTCATGTTTAATAAAGGCTGGCAAGACATACCACACTGTCTGTATCATTTCTCATTCACCTTTCACTATCCGATAATTTTCTACAACACCAAAAACAAAATGATGGAAAAGGGAATCTACTTTATTATGAAGAACAATGAATGCATATACAAAAAATAAAGCAAAACAACTTTTTCAAGTCACAATAAAATAGAGTGAATTTGTAATGCTGTTTTACAGTGAAAACTAAAATGTTAGACTGTATTAAGGACAATACTATAGTCTGCATTTTTATTTATAGGGCTGCTTTGATTTATAAGAACATATGATTTACAAAAACCATTACACATGACAGCGGGCAATTTGGACTATCTAACTCATTTAGTTGCTTGTACATAACCGATTTGTGGATCTCATACAAATGTTTCTTGAAAGCACCCAGTGTGTCAGCCTCAACAACGTGAGCTGGTAATTTGTTCCAGACTCCCACAACCCTTTGTGTAAAAAAGGGCCCCCCTTATCTCAGTTTATAATTGGACTTCCAGGAAGTTTACCCAGCATCCACTGGTTCCTGTTCCACTGTTGATTCTGAAGATTAACATCCTTGAGCCATTTCAAAATGCAAATAGCTCAGACAGTGCAACCAAGTCAACAGAAATGAAACCCCACTTTTTAAAACAGCCTTGAGATATTTTAAATCTGTTTAAACCCCAAATTATGTTTTCCAGCCAAAGTAATTTGCTGCAATAAACTTATTTTTT